TTGATGTTTTGTCATAGAAGAAAATTACCATAGCCTTCAAAACAATATAATTTAACACAAAAATATTTTAAGGAACAAAAAAGAACATATGAAGAAACTGTAAAGAAAATTCACAGATCTGTGGTTTGTTCCCATGTCTGCCAAACTTCCCATTAGATTATGTTGTTCTGTTATGTAGGAACAATGTCTAATCCCTTTTGCCTGAAACTAAATTACTTCTTCCACCACTTCCTTCACCCTACATAGACGTGAGTAGTTTATAATCTGCTCTGTACAATGCTTTTTAAACTTTGTTTGTAGCTATATTCAAAGCTAAGCTTCATTAATAATTGTACATACCACAAGCTGTAACATCATAAAAGGGTGGGAATAAAGGCCTGCAGAAATGACAGCCCAAACAAAAAAAGAATGTCATGAGAGAAACAAGACTTGGCTAATTGTATTCCCAAGGAATAATAGTTTCTTAGCAAAAAAAAAAAACCACACTTTGGGGTAGTCAGAAAAAAATCAATAAGTGTGTCATTAATATGTGAAACTTCTTGGAGTTGAGCAGAAATGTAACTTTGAAAATTACACTAAATAAATGTTACAAAATAATAAAATATCAAGTCTACAATATTTCTGAATTAGAAGTGTTGAAATAAATTTAGAATTATTATTATTTTTATTTAAAGTTGTAAGTTCTATATTCAGGTGTGTGCTTCACAAAGGAACAACACTCCACAGTTTCAAAAAATTAAACAGTTCCAAATTTTGTAAAATTTGAAACACACCTGAATCGTCATGACTGCTTGTTACATATGTAAAATAAAACAGATATAATTCACAAGCTTCATATGTTTTGGATTAACTAGAATTATTCAAACATCCAACATGTATCACAAGCATCTTAAAACATTTCAATATCTTGTTTCAGCAATCCAATATTCGTGTCCAAGATGATGTATATATTTACTTAGGAAATACTTTGGTGTGATTGAAATTTCACAAGAAATGTGATCAACATTTAACTTTCAACAAGTTTATAAAACTTAGAATTAACTTGACACTGATAAGATAAGCATAAGTATAGCATCTAGCTAGTCTTTAAATCTAAATCTTTCACTGTAGTAAAATTGTATGATTTACATGTAAGTTACAGAAGTTTAAACATGAGATAATATACAAGTATACTTACATTATAATAAATATCGGGATTGGTGCTGTCGAACTGCAGTGCTCTCTCATACACTTCTTGAGCTTCCTGTGTCCTGATGGAGACACAGAAGAACAATGTAAGTTCTTAGAAAAAGAAATAGTGCAAATACAAAGTTACAGAATGGCATGTAGAAAACATGAATTTTGTAAATATGATGAAACACACCGACTAGCAACCTTATTAGGATCTCTATCTAATATTAGGATAGACCATCTTGAATTAACAAAAGCACTATGAATGGAGTCAAATGCTTTCCAACTCAATCAGTTTAGTTCAGCAAATTTATGAGTACTGAATATTATTATCAAAATAAAGCTCAGCAACACATTCAAGTCGGTTTTAGTATGAATATATTAAAAAGAAACGCACCAATGATAACATTAAAACATACAAAGAACTTTTAGCTTTCAAAGACAAGATAAATTTTCATCATTCTCATCTTTCAACAATTTTTTGATGTTGGATTGAGACTTGATTTAAGTATATTTTTCTACAAAAAACATTCTTTAGTTATGTAGGGAAGTTACTAAAGCTTTTGTCATATTTATTGAAATAAATATACATGAACTCTCATACCTATTTAACTTAATCAGAATGTCACCTCTGTTGATATACGCTTGGATGTAATCTGCTCTCATGCTGATAGCCTGTCTGTAGAGCTAGAAAGTTAAACAACATGATTAAGAATGACTCTTCATAATAATAGTTTCACAGTTAATTAGAAAAATAAATAATGTGTTCATAATCTGCAAACAATTATCAAAGAGTTCTTTACTTACAGATTAATTCTCTCCTATTAGTAGAGTCAAACTTTACAGGATAAATATTACTAATTAAGAAAAGTAAAATTAATACTTATAAACTTTTACGTCACATATAAAACAATGCTGTAACTTTGTGATAAGGCTTTACAGGAGAGAGAGAAACTTAAATGACTTGTATGAATAAGTGTAGTTGGTCACATTACTACATTTTTTTTTCATACAACCCTGAAAACAGGATACAAGCATTATTTAAAACTAGCACAGACCAGTAAAACATTTGTGGCCAAATTAATATCTATATTGCAACACTACTTCTTTAAATACAAGATTTATAGAATAATGTACAAGAATTATAATTGCAGATACATCCACCTTTTGTTTACATCTTTAGAAATAAAGTGCGTGCACATGTGCATTTACTGAGTATTACTATAACAGATTTAGCTAAATGTTTTCACTCTTCAGAAAACTGAGTATTACTATAACAGATTTAGCTAAAAGTTTTCACTCCTCACACATGTAATTGCAAGTAAACTTACTGCATCGGCTTCTTCAAGGCGACTCTTGTTTCGAGATATGAGGTTTGCAAGATTAAGAAACACATTCAGATGGTTTGGGGCTATTCGAACTCTATAAGGCTCTCCAGTTTTAGGGCGCGGAAGAAGTCCTTTTGCCTGAAATTTAAGATTTGAATTTCGTCACACCAAATTTATTTATATTAAAAAAATATTAATAAGTATTGTTTATATAATACCTGTAGTGCACATTGGAATATAAAATACATTTTAATACTAGTAATAAATGATCTTATAACACCAAGATAAAAAATTATAACTTCTGATACGGTTCATTACCCCCACTTACGTAAATAGTTAGAATCCCACATTGAACAGGTGAAGGGACCAGTGTGAGAGAAAGAAAGAAGCATCTGAAGGACACTACCAAAGAGATCTTCGGAGTCAAAGATCATACATGGGAGACCACACCACTTCTGAACTAGGTATACTCTTTGCCCATTGTGGAAAGATGTCACATATACGAGCAGAAAATCAGGGAAGCACATCCAAATGATAGATAACTATGGCAGGATAGTGATCCGAACCATACATTATATATCAAAGTTATGAAATTCAATCTCAGGGAACATAAAAGTGGGTAAGATTAAAGTATGTGCCCCTTGGTGTAGAGTAGCTAGGGCATGATGGACTGTACATGGCACGTCACCTACGTTTAAAACCCATGCCACTGGGAACCAACATCCATGCGGGGGTAGGATGAGGATTATACTGTCAGTAATTCAACTATAATCCAAAACCCAGCCACCAGGTACTAACATCCATGTAGAGGTAGGAAAGAAGATCATACCAGCAGCAAATAAACTACAATCCAAAACCCAGCCATCTGGTGGGGGTAGGTAATATATGTGTGAAGACTTGTGTTGATTGTTCAACTCTAAATCCAGAACCCAGCTACTGGGAACCAACATCTATGTGGGGGTAGGATAAGGAACCCCAACTGAAGGGGTGAACTGCAATTTTGATGGCTCACTCCCATATTACATAGTGGAGGATATCTCATCCTCTACACCAGCAGAACTCCACCACCCTACTCTCAACTGAATGGTTTTATAATAATTTATATATCATTCGTATTTCATTATCACATTCAGGAGGATGCCTCTATGGTCCACCACCCCAGTGGCTTGGAACTGGAAAGTGGTAAGGAAGGACTCTCAAATTCCACTAGATGAAAAGGGAGGAGAAAGCATGGTGGAGAGTCCTGAGGAATGACAACACCTGAGACAGTGCAATGAGTGACCATGAAACTATATTTTGAAAAGCAGACAATACCAATTTATTAAATACAAAACATGGCAGGGATGGGCAGCTATCCCCTCCTGCTCTACTCATGTGGTCCATAGGTGAGTATAGTCTGGGATGGGCAAACTTATGAAGTACACCTATAGTGAGGATAAACCTAGAAGAGATCTTGTGGAACACCCCATCTCTGCAGTGGGTATTGCGTGGTCATGGAATTATAAATGTTAAGTCATCATGGCTTTACACTGTGGTTTTTACAAGTTTAAGTATACTTGGACAGGCACCACTCACAGTCTCACAAAAGAGTAAATGATGGCAACAGGTGGATGACAGTACACCGACAAGGAAGAAACAGCTACCCAAAGTAGAGAATGGGAGATGAATGGACGATTTGCAGGGAAAAGGGAAGGTGCATGATCAGAGTGAAGACATGAAAAATCGATGGTTGGAAGAAGGATATATGGAATAAAAGGCCAATTGAATCACAATCCAAACCCAATGGGTCAGGGAGGAAGCAAAAATAATCACAGACAAAGCAGTGGAGTAAGGGAAGGTAATTGTGGGAGATGGATTCAATGGAAAAACCTTGAAAACAATGAAGCAACCCAAAACACGTACTGGACCAACAAGGTCATCTGGAACCAATTGAGAAGAAATGTGGAAGATGGTAAGAAATGGAAAAGTAGAAAGGAATATACCACATGAGCCACAAAATGGAGGTAAAAAAAATTATCCAGAACAAAGAAAACAATTGAGCCAAAACAGCAGAGAAACCCAAATTTGTACCAGCCAGTAAATCAATTAGAAAGACCTGAACCAGAGTGGCATGGATAAAATACTGATGGAAGGATAAAAACTAACATTAGAAACTAGACGTAATCCTATCTGACCATATTGACAGCCAGGGCAAGGGGAGGATGAACTAGAGGCCAAAAACAAAAAAGGGAATTACTTAGGAATTGATGAAAAATTCAAAAACTTCATGTGGAAGACTACCCCACAGAAAGTAGAGCCATCAAAAATTTGGAGAATCGAGAGGTCACTCCTTGGGAGAAAATGTGACGGGACTGGAAAGGCAATGAGGACAAAAACTTGCAACATTACCCTCCAGGAGATGCATTTGAAGTGTGTGGGTTCAAAAAGGGAGATACACTGTCTACCACAAAATGAACAAGAAAGAACGTCCCCTTGGCAAGTGATAGGAGCCACCACCGTTGAATAGTCAAATCTGGAAAAAATGAAAAGAGTGAACGAAAGCACAATGGACTGGATGAAGTGCCAGGATGTGAAGGGAATAAGATCATTCACCTATAGATCATAGTCCTGAAGCCTCCTACAGATCAAACCACATCCTAAACCAATGGAGATGAGCATCAGGGAAGAGAAACAATCCAGAAAAGGGGAAGAAGCGGGACTATCAAGTCATCTAGAAGAAGAGGAAAGGAAGAAAATCAATGGATGGTCCTGATAGAAGGGTGTGTAAAAATACCCACCCAAAAAAAGATGAGAATGTGAGGTATGGAACAGGAAAAACACATCCAATTGGAAAATCCAACTATCCGAGCTGACTGTAGAAGGAGTATATGAGTATGTGAAGACTACCCACATTTGGAAGTAGCTAACCAAAGCTATACATCCAATGAATAGTGTAGGTAAAATCACCCCCCCAAAAAGTGGAAGTTGGGTAAAATGCAAACCCCCCACAAAAGACATATGGTACCAGACAAGTCCAAAGGGCAAGACACAAAACTGGGACTGAATTATGTGGTGAAATAACCTCAAATAGCATTCCGAAAAATGGAAAATAAGAATGTGTACTGGCATACCCAGACATGCAAAAATAGCAAACCCGAATGTGATCAACCACTACATGTGAAAACAGAGAAGACCTAATTAGTGATTGAAGTGGGACTGATTGATCCAGAACCCCATATAGCATCAAGCATACAAGACAAATGGAGAAAACCCATAGGTTAGGTAGGTAAAGGACGGAAAATTGCCAGACATGTAAAAGAATAAAGATGACAATATCTCAGAATGAAATAAAAAAAAATTAATACAGCATGGCAGATACCCCTCGTGATGTTAAATGTACAAGAGGAGCCCCAAAAAAATGGACAGGTGGAGAAAAAGATCTGACCATAAGTGTCCCATCCAAGAAGTTCCCAAAAGGAAAGAAGCCATGTGTAGAGGGAAAGAACAAAAGATGGCAAACCCCCAACATGTAGAGAAGGAGGAGGTATCCCACAAAAATCCCTAAATATAGGTGGAACACTAAGAAAGGAAGTGGAAGGTAAACATTACCTGTAGAAGAGTAGATAGAGTAAAAGCTGAAAAACTAGGTAGGGGAGAAAATGGATAAGATTAATAGAGATCCAAAGGACATAAAACTAAGAAGAAACTCTGGCTTATGGTAAGCTAAGGCAAATAGATTTAAAGCCTGTATATAGCAAGGCTTGCAAGTACCCAATCTCAAAAGAGACAAAAAGATCATAAAGAAACAATGTCAGGAGAAGGGAATATACTGTGAAATGTGTCTAAAAAAAAAACTGAGATAGGCTGAGCAGATTCTGCAGAAGAGGCCTGGAATGCAATCCATGATAGGGTAGAGGAAAACAGAAAATCTGGGCCATCTGAAATGGGTTCAGTCATTATAGGACGAAGGCAAGTAATACTGAGAGCAGGTAGGATGGACCCCATCCCACAGGGGCCAAGAGAAATGAAATTAATGGTCTGATGTATAACATACAAGTCAAACAAAATGAATGTAAAGAAATTAACAGACACTTGTTTAGACTAAGCTAACAAAATATTTAACATGTGCAAAATTGCTTTTGCATATAGAGGGCAGCACTGAACGAGAATAGCTATTTATGTGACAGGAGGTAATGCACCATATCAGAATTTATTTTTCTTCTTTAATTAAGGAAGAAAAATAATAACTCAATGTGATACAAATAACACATATGAACAAGGAATACTAATCATAAAATAAGTTGTTTAAAATACTATAACTACTGGGTACTATACTTAGATATATGTTTCATAGTGTCATTAAACAACATTTGTTCCACATTTTTAAATAAAAACATCAGAAACAAAAATAAAAAATATGACAAAAGAAAGAGATCAAACTCAAGTTCCCTTTCATCACTAGTAAATTAAAATAAGTTATTTCCTTTTCAATAATAAAATTCACGTTTTAACTCTTTCAACATATGCTCGGTCCCTAGGACTGATCTCGTAACCATACTGCGTTTGTTATAGTTTTCATGCTATAACTTTTGAATTAGTAAGTGATTGTTAATAAAATTTGGCATATTATCAGCAAACATTACAATGCTTTCATATACAAAATATAAATTTTTTATTAAGTCTTAAGGTTTATAAAGCAATACTTTTCTCATGTTTTTTTTCTTTTCACATGTTGCCTATCTATCATGCAAAGTACTAATCGTTT